AGGTTTACAAGGGTTTCCTACATAATGCTTCTTAAACAAGCGAGATAGGAATTTCAACTTAAGAACTATTAGAAAGTTACAACTCAACTAAGGATATACAATAACTTTATGTGGGAACTGGTCCGTAGTTGTTTTGTTCTTTGTTCTCGATGCACTTGACACTTGCTTGCTGAATGGTCACGTGAGTAAGCTTGAGTGAAATCTCTAAGTGTTCAAGTCAAGTGCATTTTACCTCCCTTGATTGTATATATACATTTGTAACATCACTTACAATGATGTAAGCAAGGTAGAAAAAAATCTTCCCTGGGAAGTTGAGCGTTGTACTGTTCCTGGATTGTAGTGTCCGCAGGAAGCAGCTTTCCAGCTGGGGAGTGGATTCGCACAGTCTCCTTGGGAACTGGTGGGGACCTGTTCCCTCAGCTGCTCCTTCCACTCTAAAGAGCCGAATCATGTCCCATGTTGAGTCCCAACATAGAACCTTGTGATCTTAAGGTCTTGTAAATGTGTAACAGGTTCCTTATCTGGTTCTGTATAGTAAGTTTGTTAGATCATAAAAACATAAAGTAAAGTGTTATGACCAAAGTACTTGTAACCTATCAAAAAGGGGAGTTGCAGGTTCGAGCTGATACTATTATCTTGATGACTTTTTTGAATATTCGGCCCAAAAGGACATTCAATCATCCTATGTGCTAAATGTTGCATCTTTGAGGGTAGAAAGCTCATTTGGCGGACTGATGTGTGGAAAAAAGGGGTGAAAATGAAGTAAGAGAGATTATTGAGGGTTTAATCACTCTTATTTTCTTGCCCAATTTTCTAAAAAGATTAAAAAAGGAAAAAAATATTTTACACTTCCTTATAATTTTTAAAAAAAGACAAAAAAAAATAGTTTTTCCAAATTAGTTGCATTTTTTTTCAAAGCTTTCTCTCATATCCAATCCTCCCGAACTACGCATACCTAATTCTCGTCTTTCGGGGCGGGATACGTAGGCAACCCACATAGGGTCTAGTCTTTCTAGTGATTATTAAGTTCTTGGCTTCGGGGGTCATAGCCAAATCATACATGTCTAGCCACTTTTGCCCCATCGCGGTTTTGTAGAATAGGGCTATTTTTGCAAAGTGGTTTATTGAACTGTGTCGGGAGAGTGTTGAATCCACAATCATCTTTCTCCTTTCTCTAAAGTTTGTCCTTGTTGAATTTGCATGTCTAGCCACATCTGGCCACATTGGCCGTTTTGCAAAATGGGGTCATTTTCGCAAAAGTGGTTCAGTGACCCGAGTCTTAAAATCTTGAGTGCACAACTAGGTTTCCCGTTCCTTCAAGGTCCTTCCTTGTCATGTTCGCGTCTCTAGCCACGTTTGGCCATATTAGCCATTTTTGCAAAATGAGTCATTTCTGCAAAGTAATTTTTTGGGCCATGATTATTGGGAGTTTGAAGTCGTATAAGCCTTAGTGGTGTATTTTCATGTCCTAGAGGTTACCTTGGTTGAGTTTTTACTAATATGTCACCCTTGGCCATGTAGGCCATTTTGCAAAAATAGTCCAATCATGTCTTGCATGTGTCCAATAGGAAGTGTTGTGGTGTCACATAGAGTCTTGATTCGCTAACCGTGTTCTCTTTATTCAGGTATGGACCCGCTAATTTGATCCAAAGTGTTGATGGTAGTGAAGATTCCTAGGAAGTTGGTCAAGTGGTGGAAAATGTTTTCACTGTTAGAGCAGCACGAGCTAATGGATAAGTTGGGCACCCTCACTTCGCTTCTTGATATCACGCCTCGCCCAGACCTAATGGAGACAATATTGACCTACTGGGATCCACAAAATATGGTTTTCAAATTTGGAGAGTGTGAAATAACTATTACATTGTCAGAAATGTCTGGTCTCACTCGTCTAGGTTACATAGGCAAAGACATGGTACTTTCCCGAGATCACTCTAGAACAAGATTCCTTAGCAACCTGGTCCTAAAAGACAATAAGCATTTGGGATGCCTCGAGCAGTCTTGGATATCCTTGGATTATTTGTTTGCTAGATTTGGGCCACATGATAGTTTTGATATCTTTTGGGTTGAGTTTTGCACAACCAAGGCAAAGTGGCAAAGACGCCGCCTTGAAGCTTTCAACCTTGCTTTGTTGGGAATATTGGTGTTTCCTTTAGATGAGAGGCACATTAACATCCATCTACAATCAGTGGTGATGGAATTATTTCATGAAAAATAACGCAAAACCGTTACCATTGTACAAATGATCTTGGTAGAGTTGTATCGAGCTCTAAGTGAGGTTAGGGGGAGGTGTAAGGTTTTTTGAGGGGAGTAACCTTTTGTTGCAATTGTGGATGATGGATCACTTACACACCGCTTCCTTACTTTGTCCTATCCTGCTTCGCGTGATCGAGTGGTATGCATTGATCGTAGAATGAAGTCTCCTAGGTTTACGTATCCAATTGGAGTCGTGGCTTTGATAGAGTGTCTAGGGTTGAGGACAAACGGGAATGTTTTGTGGACCTACCTTTGGCTTCCTTTAGATGAGATCTTCGTAGGATGTCGCATACAATATTTCTTAATATTGATAGGACTTAGGTGTGTTAGGACGTACACACCAATTAGGGTGATGCGACAATTGGGTAGAAGGAAAGGGGAGCTGCCAACTCTGAATCTTCAGAGGTACATCATAAATTTTAGCAAAAAGGGGCTGATGAGATCAAGTACGTGCAATACTGGAACAATGCAAAGAGGATGAAAAAGAATACATTAGTAGAGGACATTGGCAGGCCCGAGTTGTACTCATGAGTACTTGATTTGGTTGCAGTCTATTCCATCAGGGGTCAGCACCCCATTGCCAGCACAACTTAAAAGTCAAGCAGTTCAAACATATGATTTTGAGGAGGCTTTGGATCCAGATCCTTGGGGTAGGCTTGAGTTAATAGGGTCTCAGTTAGCACACTTGTTAGCAAGTGTGGAGCAGAATGGTCAGTATTTGTTTAGGATGGGCCTTCAGGAGGTGGGGGCACACACCAAGACCTTTGTTCCCAGCATTGGTGCATCTTTATGAGGCATGTTACAGAGCTAGATCATGACAGACGCCACAGGACCGTCCCAGCCGGGGCACCGGATTTAGGATCTGCATGAGAAGGCTTTTTATTTATGTGCCTTAAGTCTGTTTTATGTTGTCTTTTACTTTCGTGTCTTGTCCAGTAGTATTGAGTCTTTTAGGTAGTATCAGAGTCTGTCATAGTCTATTGAGTCTGTCGAGTCTTTAATTATCGTACTTCCTATTTGGTATTTGAAAACCAAAATTTATAAATGAAAAAATCCAAAAAGATTTTTGTTTTTAGTTTATTTTGCTCATCACTTTTTCAGAACTACGATTGGTCTGATTCATGTGGAACATGATACGTCGGCAACCTATATCGGGTTCGATCGAATCATTTTTAAAATTAAAAAAGAAGATGAAGCTGTGGGATGTAAGAAATGAGAGGAAAGAAAAGAATGACAAGCAAAACGAAAAAGAGTGGAAAAAATGAGCATTAAAGAGAAGATAAAAGAGGAGCATTGAAACGAGCAAATTGGGATGATGCCATATGACCTTGTGACCCCCAAAGTCATTCTAGAACCGTTAATTGTTGCTAGGTGCATTACACATAATGTGATATTATTATCCAATAAATTCTCTAACGCTAACATGTTGGCTTTATTTTGCTCTTCTCTGTTATTTTTATTATTAATGTCAGGAAGGTGGTTAGTTTGTTGGTATTCTCGTGAGTCATCCATACAACACTTGGTAAAAGCGCAAGGCAATCATGTCTAGCAAAGAATGACACAGGTGTTGTTAACCCTTCGAAGGAGATTGTAGAATCGGAATATGAGTTGAAAGAGGAGGTCCAAAGGTTGAAACAATAGATGGCAGTTATGTATTAGGCTATAATCAGGGGGCACCCTCCACCCTCATTTCCCACTAACTACACTGAAAACCCTACCATTATCCCACCACTATAACAAGCCTAGATTCCCATTACCGTTGATCTTTCCCCTCAACATGCACTAGGCTTTACCCCTTAACACAACTACCCTGGCACCGCATCCCAACCTTTTCATGCTCTACCAGCCAAAACAACCTCATATCCCGCTCCAACATCCACTCCTATTTTTGTAGCCCCTCCACAGGCTACCATCCATCGATCTTCTAGTGAACCCATGTTCAAAGTTCCTGATGCTTAATACTATGCTCCACAACCAACATTCAAGGTCACAGATCCTTATTGTTATACCCCTCACTTTGAGCCTCCCGTTAAAATCGAGAAGTCCGCTAAGAACAGGGAGCAAGATGATATATTCAGGAAGGTGAAGAGTTTAGTGCAATCTTTGTGGAATATGTAAGGGATAGGAAGCCAAGAAAGTGTAGCTTACAAGGACTTGTGCTTGTTCCATGATGTCTAACTGCCTGCCGGTTTCAAGATGCCAAAGTTTGATCTTTATGATGGAAATGGAGATCACGTGGCCCATTTAAGAGGTTATTGCAATAATATGAGAGGTGCTGGTGGGAAAGATGAGCTGCTGATGGCTTATTTCAGTCAGAGTTTGAGGCGGGCAGGCCTGGAATGGTACACCTGCCGAGATGCTAGCAGGTGGTATACAAGGGACGATATGGCTCAGGACTTTGCCCAGCACTATGAGTACAATATAGACATTGTCCCGGATCGCCTATCCCTGACCAAGGTAGAAAAAAAGCCTAATGAAAGCTTTAAGGAATACTATTTCAGATGGAGAGAACAAGCTTCCCAGGTCAATCCTCTGATGAAAGACGACGAGATGGTCGAGTACTTTCAGCAAGCCCTAGAGGCTACTTACTTTGGACACTTGATCTCAACCATAGGTAAGCCTTTTATGGATGTGGTAAAGATAGGAGAAATGGTGGAAGAGGGACTCAAGTCAAGTAAGATTATGAGCTACTACGCTATAAAAGCAACCACGCAGGCAATCCAGACCGGCACGGGTAGTTTGTTATCATGAAGAAGGATGATGTTGCTATGGTTGTCTCTGGACCATGGTGTGGCCCAAGGGGTTTGCCTCACCAGTACACTCAGCCTCGACCCCAACCCGAAGCCTACACCCAAGCTTCATATAATCTACCCCAGCATTATTTCCCATCACAAGACCCTTCACACTCAGTCATACCACCCCAATACCATGTTCATCACGCACAATCATATGCTCAAACCCCTCCTTACCCGCAATGGCGTGCTCCAACTCCACAAAATCCTTATCTATCCCAACAACCCTACTGAAACACTACTGGTCCGAACTTTCGACCAAGGACAGAGTATAGGAAATAAAGGCAGCAGCAGAAAGAAACCTTCACCCCTCTTGGAAAGTCGTATGCCAGTTTGTTTCAAAGGTTGAGGCAATTGGACGTGTTGAGGCCGATTGAGGCAAAGATACCAAAGAACTTTGATTATTCTTTGAGGTGCGCATATTGTTTTGATGCCCCGGGGCACGATATAGAGAAATTTTTGCATGTGAAAAGAGCAATACAAGAGCTTATTGATGCAAATAAAATAGTAGTACAGAGCCCGGATGCGCCAAACATCAACCAAAATCCTTTGCCAACCCATGCAGAGACACATTTGATTGAAATAGTTCGTAAGGATGGGGAGTTCAGGAATTCTTCCAAGTCCATCATGATGATTCATGCTAGTAAAGGTAATTCAGTTAAGGCTCTAGACTCTACCAAATCAATGCCCTTGACAGTTGAAGGGGTGACAGAGAAACTAAGCATGCTCAACCTGAAGCCACCTGTGTTGGTCGTGAAATGGTCTTCAAAGGATATTGGGGCAAATCAGGTAAAGCTGAAAGTGGTTGTGCCAGGGATCCGGAGCAAGCCTGTCGTAGTTGTGAAAGAGGCTCCTATCACCCCTGTTATTATTAAGCCAATCACGCAGTTGCCAGTGGTTGATACAAAGGCTGACCCGTGGAACTATAAACAAGTGATAGTGACATATAAAGAGAAAGAAGTGGAGGAAGAAGTCAATGAAACTGGAGGACTGGATCGTTCTGGGAGGTGTTTCCCTATAAAGAAGCCGATCACTGAAGAAGAGGCTGAAGAGTTCTTGAAAAAGATGCAAGTGCAAGACTATTCCATTATGGAGCAATTAAGGAAAACAACGGCTCAGATCCCTCTTTTGTCTTTACTCATGCATTCAGATGAACACTGCAAAGCCCTGATGAAGATTTTGAATGAGGCACATATTTCTGATAGGATCAAAGTGAATCACTTGGAAAAGATTGCTAACAAGATCTTCGAAGCAAACAGGATCACTTACTCAGATGATGAACTTCCTATGGAGGGTACAGAACACAACCGAGCTCTTTATCTCACGTTGAAGTGCAAGTATTCTATTGTCTCAAGGGTACTGGTTGATAAAAGCTATAGTGCAAATATTTTCCCTTTGTCTACTCTACAAAAGTTGAAGATCGGCACTGAAAGAATCCACATGAACAGTGTATGTGTTCGAGGCTTTGATGGGGAAGGGAAAGATTCTGTTGGTGATAAATTGCCCAAATTATCGATAAGGCCAGTTGAGTTCACTATGGAATTCCAAGTGCTGGATGTGGCTGTCTCTTACAATTTATAATTAGGTAGGCCTGGATACATGCGGGTAAGGCAGTCCCGTCTTCTCTGCATCAAATGGTAAAGTTCGAATGGGACAGGTAGGAAATAGTTATGCACGGTGTTGAGGACATATCTGATTATAATGACACATCTGTTCCATTTATTGAAGCTGAAGATGATAAAGGGCCTTGGGTCTACCAAAATTTCGAAACAATGTCCGTTGAGAAGATTCCTGAAGGAGAATGCATTCCAGGTCCGAAGCTATCCTCCGTGTCCGTCATGGTAGCAAATGAAATGTTGAAGAATGGATTTGTGTCGGGTAAAGGTCTGGGTTCATCTCTACAGGGTATTGTGCATCCAGTATGTCCACGTAAAAATTTTGGTATATTTGGTTTGGGATTTGCGCCCAAAGAGAAGGATGTAAAAAGGGTTATAAATCTGAAACAGAAGGTATGGTCGCTCCACAAGCCTGTTCCACATATCTCCAAGCCTTTTGTCAAGCTAGGGGCCGCAAAACGTCCAATATCATCAGTCCCGAAACCTGTAGTCGATGTTGATGAAGGGATGATCAAGAGGTTTCGGAGTCTACTTGATGAGGTTAATATGGTGGAAATTGGGGAATGTTCTATTAACGCAGATGTGTAGCTCGTTGGGCCAAATGTGAAGCTTAGCAATTGGGAAGCTACTCCTTTCCCCACCCAAAAGGAGTTTTGTTGTTTGCTTTGTTTTCCTTTTTGTTATCTGGGTTATTCCAGGGTTGTAATCCAGATTTTTACTTTTGCTTGTTTTGATGTCCAAACCCTTCTATCCTTTTATTTCAATGAAATGCAATTTCCTATTTCCCATTATTCCTAATAGTGTTTCATTTTTGTTTTTCTTTTGTACAATTCTTTTTATGCTGGTTCTAATGACATGACATGTATGAAGAATTTTCAGTCAAGTCTTAAAGCCAGTATAATCTTGAAATAATGATCCAAGAAGTAGAATACGGTGAAGAAGTAGAATATGATAAAGAAGCAGCATTTGTAGAAATAAGTAAAGAGCTAAAACATTTTGAAGAGAAACCAAAGCCTAATTTGAATGAAACTGAAGCAATCAATTTAGGAGATCAAGACAATGTGAGGGAGACTACGATAAGTGTGCATCTGGAACCGCAAGTCAAGGAAGAAATAATCAAAACACTGTTTGAGTACAAAGATGTATTTGCAAGGTCGTATGACGATATGCCAGGCTTAAGTACTGATTTGGTAGTTCACAAATTGCCAACTGATCTTGCATTCACTCTTGTCAAACAGAAGCTGAGAAAGTTTAAGACTGACATGAGTGTGATGATTAAAGAAGAAATCACAAAGCAACTTGGGGCAAGGGTCATTCGGGTCACTCAATATCCCACTTGGTTAGCCAATGTTATGCCAGTACCGAAGAAGGATGGTAAGACCGGGTTTTGATTATCGTGATCTTAACAAGGCAAGCCCAAAGGATGATTTTCCATTGCCGAACATCCACATTTTTATTGATAATTGTGCCAAGCATCAGATTGGGTCTTTTGTAGATTGCTACGTGGGATATCACCATATCCTGATAGATAAGGAAGATGCAGCAAAGATAGCGTTCATCACACCATGGGGAACATATTGCTACTGGGTAATGCCATTTGGTTTGAAGAATGTCGGGGCTAGTTATATGAGGACAATGACTACCATATTTCATGACATGATACACAAGGAGATTGAGATTTATGTAGATGATGTGATCATAAAAGGAAAGAAGCAGTCCGACCATGTCAGGGATTGGAGGATGTTTCTCCAAAGACCCCGCAAGTATAACCTCAAGCTCAATCAGCAAAATATGCATTTGGTGTCCCATCCGTGAAACTATTGGGATTCGTGGTTAGTTGACGCGGTATTCAGTTAGACCCGTCGAAGATCAAAGCCATCCAAGAGTTAACACCACCCAAGAATAAAACCGAGGTGATGAGCTTGCTCGGAAGGTTAAATTACATCAGTAGGTTTATTGCTCACTCACGACAACCTGTGAGCCCATCTTTAAGTTGCTAAATAAGAATGATGCAGTCAAGTGGACTGACAAGTGTCAAGAAGCATTTGATGAGATTAAGAGGTACCTGTCAAATCCACTTGTGCTGGTCCTACTAAAGCTTGTGAGACCTTTAATTTTGTATTTGACAGTCCTGGATAAAAATTTTGGTTGCGTACTGGGTCAACACGACATCACGTGCAAGAAAGAGAAAGCAATTTATTATCTCAGTAAGAAGTTCACTTCTTATGAGGTTAAGTATACTCTTCTTGAGAGGACATGTTGCGCCCTGACTTAGGTGGCACAAAAATTGAAGCATTATCTTTCGTGCTACACTACTTACCTCATTTCTCGTATGGATCCTCTAAAATATATCTTTCATAAGCCTATGCCTGTAGGAAGACTTACAAAGTGGCAGATTTTACTCACAGAGTTTGACATTATTTATATGACTCAGACCGCGATGAAAGCCCAAGCCACGTGGCCGAGAATCCGGTGGATGAAGAATATGAGCCATTGAAGACTTATTTTCCTGATGAATAAGTGTTATGTGTTGATGAGGTTGATCTTAATGAAAATCCAGGTTGGAAACTCTTTTTCGACGGAGCCGCTAACATGAAAGGTGTCAGAATAGGAGTTGTACTCATTTCTGAAATAGGGTAGCACTGCCCTGTAACAGCCCAGCTTCGATTTTATTGCACCAACAACATGGCTTAGTACGAGCATGCATTCTAGGTTTGAGGGTAGATGTAGACATAGGAGTTCAGGAAATACTGGTTTTGGGAGATTCAGATTTGTTGGTTCACCCGATTCAGGGACAATGGGGAACCCGGGACCTGAAGCTCATACCATATCGACAGTGTCTGCACGATCTTTGTCAACGATTCAGGTTAGTAGAATTCAGGCATATTCCTAGGATTCATAATGAGATTGCCGATGCCTTGGCTACTCTGGCATCAATGTTACACCATCCGGATAAGACTTACGTCGACTCTCTACATATCCAAGTTCGTGATCAGCATGCTTATTGTAATGTGATTGAAGAAGAACTTGATGGTGAACCTTGGTTCCATGATATTAATGAATATATCAAGTCGTGGGTATATCCGGTACATGCCACATGTGATTAAAAGAGAACTATGTCTCGCTAGTAGATTTCTCTTAAGTAGGGGAATCTTGTACAAGAGGAATCCATACCTAGGACTACTGAGGTTAATAGATGCTAAAGAAGCTTCAACTATCATGACTGAAGTGCACTCTCGAGTTTGCGGGCCATATATGAATGGGTATGTCTTGGCAAAGAAGATACTTCGAGCAGGTTACTATTGGCTCACCATGGAATAAGATTGCATCAGCTTCGTTCGCAAGTGTCATCAATGCCAGGTACACGGTGATTTGATTCATTCTCCGCCATTTGAGTTGCACACAATGCTTGCACCTTGGCCTTTTGTTGCTTGGGGCATGGATGTCATTGGACCAATTGAGCCGGCCGCATCGAACGAGCATAGGTTTATTCTGGTTTCCATTGATTACTTTACCAAGTGGGTCGAAGCTGTAACTTTCAAATCCGTGACCAAGAAGGCAGTCGTAGATTTTGTTAATTCAAATATTATTTGCCAATTCGGAATTCCCAAGGTAATAATCACAGACAATGCCGCCAATCTTAACAATCATTTGATAAAAGAGGTATGCCAACAGTTTAAGATTATGCATCGAAACTCCATTCCGTATCATCCCAAGGAAAATGGAGTTGTTGTGGCTCCTAACAAGAACATAAAGAAGATACTTCGTAAGATGGTGCAAGGTTCTAGGCAATGGCATGAAAAGTTGCCTTTTGCTTTACTGGGTTATCGCATTACTGTTCGCACTTCAGTAGGTGCAACTCCTTATTTGCTGGTATATGGAACTGAGTCAGTTATACTTGCGGAAGTTGAGATTCCATCCCTTCGGATCATTGCGAAAGTTGAAATTGATAATGATGAGTGGGTCAAAACCCGGCAAGAGCAATTGAGTTTGATTGATGAGAAAAGATTGGCAGCGGTGTGTCATGGTCAATTGTATCAGAAGAGAATGGAAAGAGCTTACAACAAGAAAATATGTCCCCGGAAATTTGAAGTGGGCCAGCTGGTATTGAAGCGCATTCTTCCACATCAGGCTGAAGCTAAAGGCAAGTTCGCCCCATTCTGGCATGGGCCATTCATTATGACAAGAGTGTTGCCCAATGGTGCTTTGTATCTAACAGACATAGAAGGCAGATGTGTGGATATGTCTATCGTTTCAGATGCAGTCAAGAGATATTATGTATGATTTCTTTGCTTATCTTCAATTGAATTTTTTGTATTTGTCATGTTCAAAACTGGAATGACGAAGGCATTTTATTCTGCTACCCAAACACTTTCATCTTTTTGTTACCCCTTTCGAGCCTTATTTACTTTCCTTCATACCCCTCTTTTGGAATCATAAGTAGAGTTAGAAAATATAAAAGAAAAATAGAAAAGAAAAAGAAAAAAAAGGAAAGAAAAGAAAAAAAAGAAGAAAAAGAAAAAAAAGAAGAAGAAAAAAAGAAAGAAAAGAACAAAACAAAATGAATTGTAGTTTGGAACTGCGTTCGACCTAATTCCTTTTAAGGATACGTAGGCAACCTTACTCTGAGGTTTGGTCCCATCAAAATAAAAATCCAAAATTTCACAAACTCAAAGAAACTAGGGCAGAGATTTTAGTTTTGCAATGATTCCAAAAGTTGTAATTTTGAATCATTTCATCTTAAATTATTTTGAGCCTTCATGTCATCCTTTCTTTCTAAACCTGACCGAAAGCTCACATTATGGTCCAAAGAAAGACCTTCGGATCAATCTTTGAAGATGCCAATAAAATGAGAGAGTCCTATTGGTGAAAACCCTCATGGGCATCGTAAGGCGAAGGTGAGTTGAGAGATGAACAAATGAAAGAGGCTTGATGGTGAAAACCCTTCCGGGCCCTACAAGTCGA